TGTTCTCAGCATTCAGGCTTTAGCATCACTGGGCCAGGGCAGAGTCCCTCCTGGGGGCAGGACTATTGTGGCCTCTCTTTCTGTTGCCACTCAAGGGGAGTGGTCTGCCTAAGTAAGATGGCTGCTACCACATGTGGGATGAGTCAGCACCTTGATCCCACTGGCCACCTTCCCAAAGCCTCCTTCCCCAGTCTCTCCTCAGGCATCTCTAGCTCACTTTGTCCCTGCCTTTGCTAGAGACCAGCATAAGTGGCTGCAAATAAATATTTAGGCATTGGCCTTTTGAAACACTCCTTGCATCTCCAGCCACCCATCTCTGGCAGAGAGCAACCCTCCTGCTGTTTGCAGCTCACTGTTATCTGTGTACTTTTTGGGCTCTGGTGCTATAGGCTTGAGATTCCCGCTTATGATTTAGAACCCATTCTTCTCAGAGGGATCCAACTGGCCATTTCAATATCCTTCTGGTGCTGCCACCCTTAGGTACCCTGCCTACCTTCTTGAGTCTCTACTGTACTCCTTACCAGTTACGTTGTGCTAAAGCTGATTCTTCTGTCTGTCTGAGGTTATAAGGCTCCTCTCTCACTATTTTTCAGTTGTTTGTTCCAGATGATTTCTCCACAGTTTAGTTGTAATTCCAGATTGGTCCTGAGAGGAGGTCAATGTGATTTCCATTCACTCCTCTGCCATCTTGATTTCTGTACCTGTAAATTCTTAATCCGACTTCCACAATCCACTGTGGAGCTTGGTGTCATAGTCAGTTTGTGTGGGTTTATCCTTCAGCATGCAATAGGAAAGTCATTCTGGATTTCAGGGAAGAAATTTTAAGACAAGAGACAGAAATAGGGGGAGGAAAATGCCATTGGTACAGACACTAAAGGAAAACCTAAGAACTTTAGCTCTACAGGGATTAGGGACTGAAGCCAAATAAATGAATCTCAGCCCTTTGCCAGCTGAAATCTAAAATGTGGTCATTCATTTGGACTATATCTTAGAGTTACATATTTTTATGTATCTGTGACTTTGAAGATGCACTATCAATTATGGTGTTCTCTTGGACTTGAGGCAAAAGGACTTGAATGGAAGTGTGCCTGTTTCTATAGCAACATGTGAGGGAGGGAGGTTGGTTGAAAGGGAGAACAACATGTCCCCCATTTAGAGATTTTTTTCTCTCTCCTCATAAATGTTCTTTCTTATTCTTGTATGTAGGTAATTTGCAAATTAGACATGAAAAAGAAAGCCTAACACTACTGCAATAACAAGTAATTGTTCTGAAAAAAACAACGTTCATTTCATATATAAATTTAGGTATATCGGTTATAAAAAAAGTTAATCTCATGTAGTGTACAGCTTCGTTGTACCACTCCTGTGAATCTTCAAGAGTTTAACATACCTTGCAGATAGCAGTTGCTTGATAAATATTTGCTGATTGATTTTAAAAAGGCCTACAGTGTTTCCCCTTGGAGAGTAAACATCAAAAGTTTTGATGTTTAACAGTGTTTTTCTATTTTGTGTAAATAACCAAAGTCCTCTGAGAGAACATAACAAGCTGGCTAAAGAGCCCCAAATCACAGTTATCTATTGGGCAGCCATATCGATCTTCCTTCAGCTCAGGGGAGCCAGGCAGAGCCATTGCTCTGCAGGCTTGAAGAAGCAGGAATTGTTTTTGCTGGGCCAGTGGGAGCCTTTGGTCCGCCAGTGCTTTATGTCTCCATGAGAAGGCAAGCTTTCTCTTGGCAAGGGTCTCTCTTGCCCATTTCTGGCACATTTTCTTAGAAGGCTGACTGGCCTGGGTCCAACACTGGCTAACTTCTTCATATTCACTCCCTTTCACACTGACTGCTCCAGGAATGTGTGGTTTGATTGGGCTGTTAACAGACTTCAACCACAAAGAAACTGGAACCGCTCTGTGGTCCTGCTTGCTGGCATTTCAGCTGCCTTATTGGCTCTGTGCAGCTACGAATGCACATGTGCCTGTGGTCTATGGGCTCTGGGATGGCACTCAATGAAAGCCCACCTTTAATTGGACAAATGAAGGACTTTCCTCTGGGTTTTCCCTGTGCTCAAGAAAACAGTGCATTAGAAATGCACTGTGAGTATCCACCCAAACAGGGTGATAAGCATGTCTGTTCCCCAGGACTGCTGCCCAGGGAAGGACAATGAAAGGGTCTCTCAGGCAGGTTCAAACATTTCAAAAGTTAGCTGTTTTCTGCCTTCATGTGCCCATAAGTTGTTTCTATTTTAATTTTCCAGGCACCTTCACTCATGTTATAAGCACAGGTTTTAGAACCTAAAGTGTTCTTAAATAATTTCTTTTTTATCACAAAATATTACATTTTACTTTAGTAGATACCAATTAAAAATTCAATGCATTTAACATTTTATTGTTTCCTCATTATCTGCGTTTCTCCCTTAAAAATAAGAAAACTATATGTACTCATTAGCTAATTAAAATTTTTTTCCAGCACTGCTGATGTCTTATCGACGTCATTCCTTTAATATTATCATTGTCTCTGCTGTTGACTCGCCCCGCCATGGGCACATTCGCATGGTTCGCCCAGCACCCTCCCTCCTAGAGGGCGTGGTCCCCTGGTAATGCTCTGCCTGCCCCTTCAGCCACGTGATCCAAGTAGAGTTTACCTTCTTTACCCAACACTGACTCTATGACACAGGGATGGACAATGACCCAATGTAATCAATTACAGCCCTTTCCTAGGACTTTCTGACTGGATCTCAAGGGGAAGAGGGCTCTTTGCTCTCATATTGAAAAAAGTCTTTTTTGCTTAAGCCAGTCCCAGGTGGGTATTGTCACTTGCTACTCTTTTCCTGTACCTTAGCTGCAGGCTTTCTGATCTTCTAACTTTACCCTTGGCTTTAAATTAGTACATTAAAAAAAACACAGTATCATAATACTTTTGTAAACTAGGGATATTTTAATGGCTCTAAGGGCCACAAGACAGAAGAGTTGAAGATAGGAATCATTTAGAAACTACATTGCTATGAAACACGGTAGGTGACTGAATGCTCAGTTACGATAAAAACTCAGACAGCCTCTGGGGAAGAAATAGTGAAAGGAAGACTATTGGAAGTTATTTGAAAAGCTATTGTGTGAAGAAAGGAGTTGTTGCTCATTATTTGGTAGAGGCATCATTTGTATGGTTAAAATTAGTATATAATCTGGTTGCTGTTTTTTATAAAGAGAGAAAATAGTTTCTAATAATGAGAGCATACGAAAGATGAAACAGGCCTCCACTTAAAGGTAAGATTCTCAGAGACTCAGAGGTTATTTTTTAAGGACTCTTGAGAGAAGGGTACTACCTTAGGGAATTTTTTAATTCTTTAGAGGCTGTGGAGATGGAGGTAGAATGTTGCTGGTGACAAAGGTTGAGAATATGGAGCTCTGCCTAGAATTGGAACTAGGCCTGGTTGAGATAAAAGCAGGACCTTATTTTATATCCTGCCATGCTGAAGTGACTAATCATTAACTTCGCGACTTCATTCATTTAAATTATTTAAGTGGTAGCTGGAAGATCTTACCTCTCTGGATCTTAGTTTGCTTAAATGTGAAATGGGAAACTTGGACTAGGTTAGAAGTCTCCAGAATTTCCTGTTAGTTATCACAGGGAGTACTCAGAGGGAATTCTAAAGATTAGAGAGGTGAAGAGATACTACCTCCATTACTCCACACGCAATGATGTTTAGCCCTCTGGAGCCACTGGAATTGCCTTACGGCTGCGGAAGTGCATGGAGGGAGGAAATACTGGGGAATGCAGGGACACATATGGGACTGGTTACATAGTTTGCGGAGTCCTGTGCAAAATGAAAATGCATGGCCCCTTGTTTAAAATTAATAAGAATTTTATGATAGCAATGGGAGAACATTAAACTAAGTGTGAGGTCTTTCTACATGTGAGGCCCTATGTGACTGCATGGGACATATTCCCATGAAGCCAGCCCTGGTCATATGACAACACCCTGTATCAATTAGAGAGATTTAAAACAGTAGCTTTGAGGTTCCTTGTCTGGTTAATTTCAAAACTCCCTTTTGGCTATATTAGAGAATACTTCAATTAATAAATTAATTCAAAGCTTAACTGATCATTTATAGACTATAAATTTTTGGAATTTTATGCTAAACTATAGAAGAAATAAATAAATGCCCAACAATTACTAAATTTCTCTGAATTTCCTAAAATTGAAATGACTATAGATTTGGTTCATTATGACAAAGAGGCCTACCAACCAAGAGGATGTGACTGCATCGCTGAAACACACGTTTGTCCCCATTTGTCTTTATTTTGAACCGAATCCATCCATTTGTGCTCTCTTCTGGGACTGGTGTCAATGCTCCGTTTTTTTGCAACTACTTCCCACATTGTAAGTCCTTTAAGTGCCCCACCCTGTGCTAGTATTACACAAAATGGAAGTTAAACAAAAACTGTTACAGACATAAAGGGGACTATTTTGTAATGACAAAAGGGTTAATCCATGATGAAGATACGACAATTATAATCCTATGTGTACCTGACAGCAGAGCCTCAAAACACCTGATGCAAAACTGACAACGCTAAAAGAAGAAATAGACAATTCAATAAAAATAAGTGGGAACGTCAACATCCCACTGTCAATAAAGGGTAAAACAACTAGGCAGCAGCTCAGCAATAAATAGAAGACTTGAACAATGTTTTCAACCAAACAGACATGATGGACAACTCTAAAAGATTTTATGCAACAGCATCAGAATACACATTCTTCTCAAAACACATGAAACCTAAGCCAGGAAAAGCCACATGTGAAACCATAAAACAAGACTCAGTAAGAAAGGGCTGAAATAATAATCATAGTGTATAATCTGTGACCATAATAAAGTGGACTTAGAAATACATAACAGAAGAAAATTCAGGACATTTATAAAAGTATAAAAGTTGAACTATGTGCTCCAAATAGTCAACCCATCAAAGAAGAAATTAAAATAGAAATTAGAAGTCCTTGCCACCACCAACATGGAGATTTTGTACCGAGTGCCATGCTTAGTATTGGGATGCCCCAACCTGAAGCTGAAGAGGTCACCCTGGGTGCATAGGCCCGCAGCCATGATGGTGTATGCTCAGGCAGTGGTGTCTCACTTTCTCATCACCAGAGGAATAATTTATGAGGTCGCTGTTGAACATCCAAGTGTTGGCTATATGACTGATGAACATGGGCGTCAGAGGCCAGTAGCTTTCTCGGCCTACAGAGTAAACGGACAATATGCTATGGAAGGACTTGCATCCAGCTTCCTGTTTACAATTGGAGGTTTAGGTTTCATACTCCTTGACCAATCCAATGCTGCAAACATTCCTAAACTCAATAGATTTCTTCTTCTATTCATTGGATTCGTCCGTGTCCTACTGAGTTTTTCATGGCTAGAGCATTCAAGAGAATGGAACTGCCAAACTACTGGATAGGTTAGAGTTCTTTCTGAGAAGAAACCTGTGGATACAGGATTTGTTCCTGTTACTGAAGTTTCAGAGGCTGCGCCAATCCTCTGATATGATACATGGGAAAGGATGAAAAGCAGTAGAAAAGAAGCATCTAGTAGAAAACATGGGAAGCATATTAAAGCTATCTAAAGATAGAACATCTTCTTGGTATCAAGGAGACAAGCTTACCACACTTTTTTCCTGTTGACCTGAACTGACATACCAATGATGTTAAGTGGCATTTTTTCCTCAGTTTTTAATTTCTTAAAGAAAATATACTCCATTTCTAAAACTATAATATTGAATATAGTAATTATTTTTTACAACCCTCTTAACATTTTTTGGAGATGACATATCTGACTTTCAGAAATTAATGTAAAATCAAAAAGCAACTCTGGACAGCTGAGTTCGGGGTTAGATTTATCCCAGGAACACAAGGTTGTTTTAACAAAAACTTATTAATGTAATACACCATATAATAGAATAAAGGACAAAAACCACATGATAATCTTAATTTTACACTAAAAAGCACTTAAAAAATCTCAATACATTTGCATGATGAAAATTATTAAACTAGAAATAAAAGAGTACTTCCTCAACCTGATAAGTATATCCATAAAAATCCCAAGCTAACATCATGTTTAATGATGAAAGACCAAAAGCCCCAAGATTAGGAACAAGCGAAAATGTGAACAAGCAAAGAAAGTTCCTTTCACATCTTTTCCATAATGTAGTGGAGATTCTAGTCAGGGCAATTAAACATAAAAAATGAGATTAAAAAGGCATTCAGATTGGATAAAAAGAAATAAAACTATTTTCTATTAGCAGATAACATTACCTTGTCTATAGAAAATCCAAAGGAATCAGCACACACATGTAAACGCTGAGTACTAATGAAGGAGTTGAGCAATGTTACAGAATGCAAAGCCAATATACATTCAGTTATATTTCCATACACCAGCAATAAACAAAGACTGAAATTAAGAAAATAATTCCATTTATAATAGTGTCAAAAAGAATAAAACATTTAGGAAGAGTTAACAAAAGAAATGCAATATTTGTGTATTGAAAACTACAAGACATCACTGAAAAGATGTTAAACCCTAAATAAATGAATTCATGTTTAAATTAGAAGACAATATTTTTAACATGATAATATTCCCCTAATTGATTTACAGATGAAACATAAATGCTGTCATACTCCCAGCTGGCTTGTTTGCAAAAATTTACAAGCTGAACCTATAATTCATATGGAAATGTAAATGACCTAGAATAACAAATACAACCTTGAAAAAGAGGACTCATGCTTTCCAATTTCAAAATTTACTGCAAAGCTATAGTAATCAAGGTAGTGTGGCGCTGAAATAAGCACAACCACATAGATCAAAGGAATAGAATTGATCCAGAAATAAACCCTCATATAATTCAATTAGGAAAAAAATAGTTTTTTCAACAAATGGTGCTGGAACAACTGGATATCACATATAAAAGAATGAAGCTGGACTTCTTCCTCAGACTATACACAAAAAATTAACTCAGAATGGATTATATATGTAAATGTAAGACCTAAAACTATAAATCTCTTAGGAGAGAATCTAAGTATAAATCTTGGTACTAAAGGCAAGTTCCTTTAGATTAGATACCAAAAGCACAAGCAACCAAAAAGAAAAATAGGTAAACTGAACTTTCTCAAATTAAAAAACATTTATGCTTCAAAAGGATATCATCAAGAAAGTGAAAAGTCTACCCACAGAATGGGAGACATGGTTACAAATCATGTATCTGAAAAAGAACTTGTATGTAGTATATATTTTTATGTAGAATATAATTTTTAGAATCTATTTTAAAAACTCTTACAACTCAATAATAAAAAGACAAATAACAAAATTTTAGAAAGGGCAAAGGGTATAAATAGACAATTCTTTAAAAGAGATATACAAATAGCCAATAAGCTCAACATATTTACCCATTAGAGAAGGTGAAACAAAACCACAATTAGATACCACGTTATACCCACCAAGATGGCTATAATAAACAAACACAGGTAATGACAAGCGTTGGCAAGTGTCTGGAAAAAATGAACACTATAAACACTATAAATGGGAATGTTAAATAATGTTACCACTTTGGAAAACAGCCTGGAAGTTTCACAAAAGATTAAACTTGGACATATCCTAAGACTCAGCAACCCCGCTCTTAGTTACATACCCGAGAGAAATGAAAACATATATCCACACAACAAATTGGACATGAATGCCTATAGCACTGCTATTTATAACCGTTGAAAATTTCCATCAATTGATGAAGAGACTTAAAAATGTGAAAGAAGCCAGACACAAAAGACCATAGATTATGTAATTGCATTTATGTGAAATGTCCAGCATAGGCAAATCTACAGACATCGGAAAAAAGATGAGTGGTTGCCTTGGGCTGGGGGACTTGGAGAGGGAACGGCAAGTGACTGCTAACAGGCTTAGGGCTGCTTTGTGGGATGATGAATATGGTCTAGACTTATTTTGCGGTGCCGATTACAAAACTGTGAATGTACTAAAAACCATTACATTTTGTAGTTTAAATGGGTGAATTACATGGTATGTAATTATATCTCAATGCACTTGATAGTTATATAATAAAGCTGACTTTATGTGTACACATATATACAGATACCTGCACACGTGGATGAGAGACTCAGGGGGTGAACCCACGGCGGCGGCCAGAGAGGGGCCGGGGGCGCCCCGCCCGGAGCGTTGCCGTCATCCGCTCCTTTCCTCGGGCGCCGTGGGGCCCGCTCTGCGGCATTTCTAATGCGTAGCTAACTTCTGCCCAACTACGTCTAGTGAAAGACCCTCCCGCACGTATTTGCTGGCATCTAGATGCTAAGATGAGAGGTAACTGTGAACAAAACCACCCAGGGACACAGAAAACTATGTGTAATGATGGTGACAGGCACAAGTGCGGAGGGGTCTGTCCACAGGAGGGACCCCGAACCCGGTCCTTGTCATCCACCAAGTTTCCCCAGAGAAACACATATCAGTGCTTAGGCTTAACACGTGGGAAGACAAAGGAAAGGGGACCGGGGCAAGGAAAACTGAGACGGAGAAAAAGCGGGAACCGAGGCCGCTGCTTGCGGGGAGCCGCAAACCCTTGAACAGGGCTGAGCGCGAGGGCGGACCCCGGCAACCGGGCAGAGATGGAGCAGGAGAAACGGGCGAAGGCCCGATACCGAGGACCGCCTCGGTTGGTTTCCTATCTCTGTGTAACAAATTAGCACGAATTCGGTATCTTAAGATAACACCATTTATTATCTTACAGCCCTCAAAGTCAAAAGCCCCCAAAGAGGTATGAGGATGGAATCACGGCGCCTGCACGGCCGGCTCTTCCGGGCGGGCCCCGGGGAGGGTCCGCGCTGCCGCCCTCCCTCTGCCGCGCGGAGCGGCGGCCGCGCCCGCCGTGCCCTCCGGGCGGCCCCCCTCCGCGCGACGCCGCGCGGCGCCCGGACGCTGCTCCGCCTCCTCGTCCGACCCCCTCCCTCTTGCCTCGTGTGTATCCGGACCCTTGTAATTTAGAATCCACCAGGATAGCCCAGGATAATCTTCCCGTCTCAAGACTGACTCAGCCGACATTCACTAGGTACCTTTTGCTACGCGAGGTAGCATATTCGCAGGCTCCAGAGATTAGGAAATAGGCATCTTAGAGGTGGGGGCGGGGGGAAGTGACGGGCTTTATTCTGTCTGTTACAACATCTTAAGAATTTACTCTTTACCTTAAATATAATGGGAAGTGCCCTGACTGGTGTAGCTCAGCGGGTGGGGCATCGACCTGCAAAGTGAAAGGTCACTGATTCAATTCTGATCAGGGCACAGGCCTGGGTTGCGGGTTCAGTCCCCAGTTGGGGTGCGTGTGAGAAGCAACCAATCGGTGTGTCTCTCTCACATTGATGTTTCCTTCCCTCTCTTTCTTCCTCCCTCCCTCTAAAAATGAATACAATAAAATATTTTAAAAATATAATGGGAAGTGATGGAAAAATTTTAGGAAGACTAGGTACATGCTAAGACTTAAGTTTACAAACTACTATTTTAGATGTAGTAGATGAGGGACAAAGGATGCAGAACAGGACTGTAGGCCTGGGAATTAGTCCAGAAGCTTCTCCAGCCATTGAGGCAAGAAAGGATGGCAGCCTGAACGAAGATAATGGCAGTCAGGGACAAAGGCAAGTGACCAGATTACAGAGACAATTGACCGATTATGGGCATAATGTTGCAGTTGATAAGGAATATATATTTGGTCTTCATTCCTGTTCCTGGCACATAGCTCCCTAAACCCTTGGAATTTCTTAAGTAACAAGAGTAATGAGAACATTTTATGGTCATAGTATTTGGTCTTTTGTCCTTGGTTCCTGAAATAGCCCCAGAGCCCTAAAGGTGGCCGGAGTGTCTTGTTATTCATAATAAACTCCTTTCAACCATGCCTGAGTTTATGAGTTCCATCTCCAACAGTCAGTGATTTAATTAATCGTATCTATGTAGTAAAGCTTCCATAAAAACCCAAAAGGATGGGTTCGGAGAGCTTCCAGGTTGGTGAACACACAAGGGTTCTGGGGGAGAGGCTTGCTGGGAGAGAACATGGCAGTTCCGTACCCCTTCCCCTTACCTGCCCTATGCATCGCCTCCATTTGGCCATTTTTGGGTTCTATTCTCTTATAACAAATGTTTAATGATATTTTATAATAAACAGGTAACATAGTAACTGAACTGTTTTCCTGAATTTTGTGAGCCATTCTTGCAAATGAATTGAAGCCAAGAAGGGGTTGTGGGACCATCCAATTTATAGCCAGTTGTTCAGAAGCACAGATGACAAAGTGAACTGGAGATTGGCATCTACAGCTTGTATGGGGGCAGGGAGGGGAGTCCCCTAGGGCTGCATCCTCAGCCTTGGGATCCGGTGCTATCTCCAGGTAGGCAGTGCCAGAACTGAGTGAATTGCTT